GCAGAAGGTCCCGGCTGAGGAGTTGGAGAAGATCGGCCTGCCCATGAACACATTCAACATCAAGAAGCCCTTCAAGGCCAAGGTCATCTCCGTGGAGCGCATCGTGGGCCCCAAGGCCACAGGCGAGACCTGCCACATCGTTCTGGAGACCGGGGGCGAGATCCCCTTTGCGGAGGGTCAGTCGTATGGCGTGATCCCTCCCGGCACAAAGATTAACAGCAAGGGCAAGGAGGTGCCTCACGGCACCCGCCTCTACTCCATCGCCTCCACTCGCTACGGCGACAACTTCGATGGCAAGACGGCCTCGCTCTGCGTGCGCCGTGCCACCTACTGGGACGAGGAGAAGGGGGCGGAGGATCCCGCGAAGAAGGGCATCTGCTCCAACTTCCTCTGCGACGCCAAGCCCGGCACCGAGGTCACCATGACCGGTGAGGGGCTTCGAATGGAGGGGGCCCAAGGTTGTCGAATCACAGATGGCGCAGCTTGGAGCAGGAGGCCACTCGGGCGGTGACAGCCACGGTGGCCAAATCCCCTCTGGCTGGCGGGAGCAAAAGGCACCTTGTGCCAGGGTCATGCAGCAGCATGTGTTTCCCCCTGCAGCACAGATTTCCCACTCGACCCCTCCCCCTCCACTACAGGGCCTACCGGCAAGATCCTGCTGCTGCCCGAGGACCAGAAGACGCCCGTCATCATGGTCGCTACCGGCACGGGCATCGCCCCCTACCGGGCTTTCTGGCGCCGCTTTTTCATCGAGGACGTCCCTGGCTACAACTTTGAGGGTGGGTGGTTGGCAACGGTGTTGGTGGGTCAGCATGATTGGTTTATGTGAAGGTCGAGTGTGTGAAGCCTGCCCTTAAACCGCCTTGCCTGCGTCCATTACGCCAACACTTCCCAAGATCCCTTGCGCACCCTCCCTTCAACCCCCCCTTTCTCCATCGACCACCCCCCATATCCCCCCCAAAACAACACCCCCACTCTCCCCCCCCACCCCTTCCAACAACCGCCCAGGCCTGGCCTGGCTGTTCATGGGCGCTGCCAACTCGGACGCCACGCTGTACGACGAGGAGATCCAGGCCCTGGCCAAGGCCCACCCAGACCAGTTCCGCGTGGACTACGCGCTGTCGCGCGAGCAGAAGAACTCCAAGGGCGGCAAGATGTACATCCAGGACAAGATCGAGGAGTATGCTGACGAGGTGTTCGACCTGCTGTCCTCCGGCGCCCACATCTACTTCTGCGGCCTCAAGGGCATGCTGCCGGGCATCCTGGAGATGTTGGAGCGGGTGGCGGGGACCAAGGGCATCGACTGGCCCGACTTCCAGCAGAAGCTGAAGCACGCCGGGCAGCTGCACATCGAGGTTTACTGAGTGTCAAGAAAAGGGGAGGAAGGGGCGGCTGGCTGGGCCCAGCGTGCGTCTGGGACCAGTCTGGTAAGGCATCATGTGCGGGTGCGAGTCTGGGGAGCCGCTGGACGCTCGCTGGAGTCCCATGTAGCGCGGGGCGCCTCGCACATACTGCATCCCGCCCCTGAGCGGCCGGGAGCACCCCTTCTCTGGGACGTCTCCCCCTACTTTGTCTTACTGTCACCCCTCTGAATGGAGGGCGGGCGATCGCCGGGACACCCCCCCTGCGCCCCCTACGGCGCCCTGACTGTCGTCCCGCCGCCGTTTAAAAAGATATGAGATTCACAGTGGGTGTTGGTGAATGGGCATTCGTTGCTGTGGGTAGATCAAGTTTGCATGGCCAAGCGCAGCGGCCACCATCTCAGACTCATGTAACCTGTGCAGCCGCCGTCGCCATCGGTCACCAGGGCTCTTGGCATCTGTCGTCCAGCACGCTGCACCCCCCCAGGGGTTCCTCACTCCAGGGGCATGCCGGCGGGCAGGGTCTCCGGGTGCGCCCTCACGAAAGCCTCCACCTCTGCCCGCTGCGCCACGAGGTGGGGCGGCGGCTCGTCGTACACGTCGCTGAACATCTCCGACAGCGGTGGCCGCGGCTGCTTGGCAGCAGCCGCCAGCGCGGCGATGGCCTCGCGCCGCGCCGCCTTTCGCGCGCCCACGCCTCGCGCTTCGTCCCACCACCCGCGCACGGCCATCCAGCGCTCGAAGCGCGCGACGGGGTCGCGCGCGCGCCAGGCCGCCATCTCCTCCGCCGCGCGGTAGCGGCTGCTGTCGTCGCTGGTGGAGTGGTGCCCGCTGCGGTAGCTCATGGCCTCCAGGAGGACGGGGCCGCGGCGCTCCAGCGCCACACGCCGCGCCTCGGCCACGGCGTTGTAGACTGCCACGGCGTCGCCGCCGTCGACACGCAGGGAGGGTACGCCGTAGGAGGGGCCGCGACCGGCGATGCCGTCGCCGCGGTACTGCTCGCTGGCCGGGGTGGAGATGGCCCAGCCGTTGTTGCGGCAGATGAACACCACCGGCGCCGACAGCGTGGCCGAAAAGTTGAGTGCGGCGTGGAAGTCGCCCTCGCTCGCCGCGCCCTCGCCAAAGTAGCAGGCCGCGACCGCGGCCTTGCCCTCCAGCTGGGATTTGGGGGAATGTGGGGGGGCAAGAGTGGAGTGGAGGCACGTGGTTGGGGACCTGGGGTCCATGTGACACCATCCCCCCAGCCACCCTCATCTATCCCCTCCCTCTCGCCAATGTTGTCCATCCAAATGACGCAGCCCACCACGCAGACCCACCTTGAGGGCGTAGGCCGCGCCGACGGCCTGCGGCAGCTGCGTGGCCAGGGGCGAGGAGATGGTGTGGAAGTTTAGGGCCTTGGACCCGTAGTGCACAGGCATCTGGCGGCCCTTCCCCGAGTCAAGCGCGTTGCCGTAGCACTACGCGTTTAGAGGTAGGGGGAGAGTGTGGTCGCAGGGGGTTTATTTGTTTGTGGGACGGAAGATCTGAGGTTGGTCCAACTTGGCTGGGGGTGGGTCGCTCAGGCCCGAAGCGCAAGCACCGTGCGGCAGCAGAGCCCCTCCCCGCCGGGGCATGGGTTCGCAGACAATGGGCCCCTTCACAAAATTCGCAGGCATCGCCCACACACCTGATTGGCCATGTCCAGCGGGGTGTACCCGCGCCACATCAGCACGCCCTGCTCGCGGTACTGCGTGAAGACGACGTCGTCGGGGTTCAGCGCGGCCGCAGACGCGACGGCGGTCGACTCCTCCCCCGTGCTCGTCATGTAGAATGAGAAGCGCCCCTGTGGGTGGGGTGATGGTTGGTGTCAGACGGAAACAAGGGCTGCGGATAGACGGCTCCATTCAGGGCATCAGTGCTACTTAAAACGCTCATCGCCTTGTGAACTGCAGACAAGAGTGCCCAGGCCGCACTGTATCATCTCCCGTCCTGCCATGCAGCATGACCAACCCCCCCCCCCTCCCCTCCCCACTCCAGCCCTACTACAGTCGACCACCTGCCGCTGGGCCTCATAGAAGATGGTGTCCACGGCCTGGAGTGAGATCATGGTCTCGTACATGCGCGTGGCCAGGGCCTGGTCGATGTCGTGGGGCAGGCTGGTGCCCGGGAGGGGGGCCCCCTGGCTGTCTAGCGCTCGGTAGCAGGGAATGGTGGGGCGCGGGGTGAAGCCCGGCCCCAACCAGGCGAGGTCTTCCGTGAAGGGGACCTTACCGCCGGGAAAATCCATGTAATCCACATCCTTTTGGCACGATGAGGTGGTGGAGATCCGACAGGCAGCGCTGTGGCTGAGGTGGGACCTGGACACCTTGCGGGCCAGGGACCCCACCGCTGCCCGTAGCATCGTCCCGCAGCAGTGCTCAGCAAAAGTGTGTAAATCGAGGGATTAGATCACATCGATGTGTTCTATCAAACGCCGAGGCTTTTACCCTGGCCTGCCACGCCGGGAGATGACTTGGTGGTCGGATGTCCCGCGGACTCCGACACGCGGGATGCGATCCGCGTGCTTAAAACAACATTGATGGGCTTGTCCTTTTCAAAGTATACCCAGATGATGCACTGTAGATAAGCATCAGATCTATCTCTTGTGTGTTGCATTCTTTTCGCAGCGTAGGCATGCATCGCCTGCATAACTTGCGTGCAGATCGAAGGACTGGAGAAGGCCACCTCGCTGACGTGGCACGTGGCGTAAAAGCAAATCTTGGGATGGGGTCGTTGGCCAAGCATTCATCAAGCGATCGAATACCTGGAAGCAAACAATTCCCACTTGTGATCTTGCATCGCAGCACTTAAAGACAACCTTTCACCATGGGTCTGGAGGTGGGTGGTACAGGGCGAGAATGTCGAGCAGTCGAACCTCGGGCGTGATGTATTCAGCTACCTCTGTTGTCCTGGGCTCCTCACCGGTGCCCTAGCAGCTCCTCATGACACAAAGAGGATACTGAGGGCGCCATATCACTCAAAGCGTAGGAGGATTTCAACAAGGCAGCGGAGGAGGCCAAGACCCTTCCAGAGGCCACCACCAATGATGAGAAGGTGATCATTTCCCTGTTGCGATCCAAGGATCGATTGTGCTTCCTGTTCCCGGTCTCCATTACTTGCCAACTCTTCATTTCTGCACGTGCAGCTCATCCTCTATGCCCTGTTCAAGCAAGGCACCGTGGGCGACGTCAACACTTCCCGCCCCGGCGTGTTTGACCTGAAGGGGAAGGCAAAGTGGGACGCCTGGGACAAGCAGAAAGGTGCAGCGAGGGTGGGAGGTCAAGACATTATGTGGACTGCTTTTGGGAGCGCCATGCAGTTCTCTGCTGCCGGCAGCCCCTACTGACCAGCATTGATAATCTGTGGATTTGTTGGTGTTTGATCAGTCTGCTTGCCCGCCGTGCAGGCAAGGACAAGGAGACTGCCCAGAAGGACTACATTGCAAAGGTGAGGGGGAACCCCCTTGCCATGGTGGATGCACATCACGGTAGACTTTGAAGCCTCTCTGTAGGTGTCCCATTCACCCACATCAGCATCCCTGAGAGTGTCAACATCGCAGGTTGCGGAGCTGAAGGCCAAGTATGCCTAGTGGAACTCACATGTGTGCACGCGGGGAGAGACAACTCAGGGCTATTCAGGCATGTTTGCACACAGAATTCACGCAAGGGTCGTTTGGCTCAGCAACAGGAAGGTGTGGAGATGTGCCTTTCTGTTTAAAAATTATAAATTCGCAAGAGATTAAGAACATGCAAGGGGCTTGGTATTCGGCATGAGAAAATTGCGCACAGGATACTTTATTGCTCCGGAACGGCACATAACCGTAGGAGCCTGGGACTGCACGTGAGTGTGTGTTCGTGCAAGGTGCATGATTTCGGGGAAGGGGAGCGTATTTGCATTGTGTGGTGGAGTGTGCCAGACGCACACCTTCTGGATGGTATGAAAGAAAATCAGTCAGGACAGCGGCGGCCGTGCCTTTCGATCGGCCATGCTGAGCAGCACTGCGGGGGGGCTGTCGGACTCAGATGCCATCACCTGTGACGTGTTGGGAGAGGTGGGGCTTGGGGCCTGGTTCGCTGCAGAGCCTGGCCCCATACCGGGTCTCTGATCTAACAGGCCAAGTGATTGCAAGGGCCCCAACACCCCAACATCACTCAGCCTGTCAGGAACAAGGTGTGCACTCAGGGTGCCCAGGGAACCGTACACACCTCTGCTCGCATCTCGGCCAGCAGCCCCAGCACATCAGCCTCGTGGTCCTCCACAGGCGCAGCACGCGCAGCAGGCTGCAGGCGCTGCCGCGCAGGCTGGTGCGCCCTGGCATCCATGCTTGCGTGCCGCTTCACGAGGACCCTGCAATAGTCGGGTGCGGGGCGGGGTGAGGGGGTGCCCGATGCGCACGCGGGTGCCTTTGAGCGGAGGGGCATCATCCCTGAGCAGCCACGCAGCGCAGTCAACCTCGGCCCCACTCCCCCGGCTTGCAGCCGCTGGATCCCGGCGCACGCTATGGCAGGGTCGTCCACTGTGGACGCATGAGATCGGGTGGGGGGTGGGCGGGGGTGGGAACTCTTTGCATGCCACCCTCATCACTTGCCGCAACAGCCAGCCCCCAGAGAAGGCAGACTCTGAACTCCACAGCGCTCCCCCATTTCCCCAAACGCAAGCAGATGGGGCCACATGGAAGCATGCAGACCTTGAGCCTCCAGCATCAAGCCCGATCCCCAACAAGTCAACACGCACCCAGGTCTGCGCTTGTGTAGCGGGAAGGTGGCCTCAGGGTGCGCTGCGGGCGCTCCGTTCCTGCGTCTGCTAGGTGGGCGGTGTCCGAGCATGCCCGCTTCGCAACCGCCTCCTCCTCCTCCTCTGCCTGGGAGGCACGCATCGATTTGCGCACGCGAGCCGCCATGTCGACGTAGTGCTGCCTCTCCTCGCTGCTCAGCTGTGCCCAGCGCTGGCCCACGAGCTGCAAGTGCAGGCGAGGCAAAGTGTGGAAAGGGGACTCGGGTCCAGAGGAGCACGGGGCCCAGAGGCCTATCGCAAACTCACGGGCGTGACCAGCCTCCTCCGCAGTATGCCCAACCCCTGCTCTCCACACTCACCTTCTCGATCTCCGTGGCAGAGGCCCAAGGATTGTCTGCCCGGACAGCATCGCGCATCTCCATGCCATATGCGGTGAAGGCGGTCCAGCCCCTGCCAGACTTGCCCACCGCCAAGGGGAGGGATCGACGGCGGCTGCGCTGGCTCGCACCAGGGACGCCAGAGCCTGAGGCAGGCTCCTCCCGTGCTTGAGGGCCTGGCGAAGGAAAGGACGGAGGGGTGTGATCGCAGAGACCGTGGGGCGCGGGTGGGACAGCCCCTCCCTGCAACCATGAGTTCAAAGCCTAACGGATGATAGGCATAGACGGCCATGCTGGTGCGAGGGGCAGCTGGCAAAGGCTTCTTGGGATGCCACTGCTGCAGGTGCAGAGATCCCATGCTCCGAGTCTCAGCGCTGCTATGCACACCACCCCTCCAGCGATGCAACTCGCAAAGGCAGGTCACACCTCTGTTGGTGGCCTCCGGTGCCGGCATGGAGGCCAGCGGCCTCGCTTCGGCCACGATTGCAGGTCTGGTGTCCACCCAGAGCGGAGTTCTGGCTTTGTCAGCAAAGGGATTGCCACGCATCAGGTCCTCAGACAGCTGGCGGGTGCCCATCGCAGCGCCACTTCTGGCAGAGAATGGGAGCCAGTTGGCCAGGGACGGCGCAATGGATGGCACGGGCCCCAGGGGCGAAAGCCCAGGGGGTGGGCCCCTCAGGCCCGCAGCAGCTCGGAGCACAGCCTGGAGGAAGGGGTCCAACAACCCGAAAGCCTGTGATACAAGAGTGGGAGACGATTGGAGAGGGGACTGGTGAGAAACGGGTGATTGGAAGGGTGGATGGCGAATTGAATGGGACCAGAGCAGCTGGTCAATGATGACGACTCAAGCCAGTCCAAGGGACAGGGGGGGATTGTGGGCCCTGCTTCTATCCATCAAGTATGCACGCAAGAGCAATCTCAACCACTGCTTTCACGCCTCATGATCAACACAGCCAGCATTGAGACCCACCATGAGCCCGCTGACGACATCCACGTGTCCCCGCGCCAGAGCCCACTTAGCAAAGGGGGCTGTGGGGGTGGACCCGCTGAAGACCTCACCCTCCACCTCGACCTGCACACGCATCGCGATGGGGAGTGGGAACGTGCTTCAAATCAGGGTTGGAAGAGCACCTAGCAGATCAGGGGCCACAGCCAGCTTGTGGCCTGTCGAGCAGCCGATGCCTCTCCCACTCCTGTGCGCACCAGGAACACCGGCCTCCCCGACATGCCGAGCTCGATGCTGAGGGAGCAGGAGATGCCATAAGCAGAGTGAATTGCCCTGGAATAGTTTATGAGTGTGTCTCAGCTTCGTGACAGCTGGAGGAGATGCAACATATCGTGGATCTCCGGCTCTGGGAGGGCCGTATCCGAGCCCTACGTTCCGCTTCGGGCTAGGCCCACACCCGCACCACCCACTCGCCTGTATCCAATAGGAAAGGGAAAGACTTTATGATTGCCGACAACGTGCCAGACACCAGACAGGTCTAGCCTGCCGAGCTCGTGGACTTGTGTCGCCGTGCTGGTCAGGGTGAGTGGAAATGCTACCTGGTGGAACAGTGGGGGATGGGGTGAGAAATTGAGACCTTCCCGGAGGCCCACGCTCAGCACAGCCCTACAACGAGAACATTTATTGTACGTACCTGGCTTATGTCCACATCTGGGAGGGAGGCTGGCGAGGGCAGTGACACCCCAAGACCCATGCGTCCCGGTGTCCGCGTGGCAGCCGACCCACACCAGAATGATTCAATTTCAATACACATCCAGAGCCCGAACGGCAGATAACATTTCACACCACCACAGACATGTCAAGTGAGGCCTCGTTTGCTTGGTTTCGTAGGACGGCGGAGCCACAGGGCTTGGAGGTGAGGTGCAGCAGCCACCTCGAATCTGCGCGATCCACCCGAGCGGGACTCGGCAGCGTGGCAGTAGCTGGGAGATACCGAATGCCTGCTGCGTACCGAGAGGTGATACACACGCTAAGTTTGCTTAGAAAACGGCAAGCAGGTGAAGTATTTTCCGGTGCATGCGCGGTAATAGCAGCCTCTTAATGGGTCGCCCACACGGACGAAGCTGCACGCCATCCCTTCAATACACCGATCGTGATCGGGTTGATCGAAGGGTCCCCGGATAGGGGAAATTCAGCCTCGTACCGCTTCGCCCTTTCACTCCTCGCCTGTTCCTTTCTATTTCATAGTTGAGTGCATCTGTCATCCCTGGGCCTCAGCATATGGAGTTTGCGGCCCTGCCAGCAATCTGACGAAAGCGTACTGCTCATAATTGACGACGGGTAACGCCCAACATTATCGTACCGGAGACGTCAAGGCTCATATAATGTAGATGGCTCCCATGTAAATGCGAAATGCGTCTGCTTTACGTCGGTTGCAGTTGGGGTGCATAAGCGACGGGGTGTGTGTTTTCTACTGTCGCCCCCCGTACCAACCCTGCTGCATTCTTTCAGGACTGGTTTACATTGCCTCTCTTCATGTGATCAACTCCACAGATTGACCCCGGTCCATCAACACGCCACAGAAAGTGGAGTCCATTGGCCATCCTGTGGCTGCAGAGAACATGCCTTGCCTTGATACCCGTGCCCAGAGGCACACTGTCAGGGCCCAGTGATCCAGCTGCATTTCGCCGCCTGCAATCGCGGCGTTGCAAATGACGATGCATGTCAGGGCGAGTCCAACAGGCTGTGTCCGATCCCACGTTTGGCCTCTGCGCGGTTGGGGCACGAGGTCCGTCGACCTGTGCGCCCAACAACCTGGGAGATCACAATGAAGTAGCAGATCCAGCGTACCGTGTCAAGGGCAGGAGATCATCACGATCCCGCGGATAGAGTTCTCAAGAGTGATGATGCCTTTCAAACTCCGCTTTCAAGCTGCCTTGCAGTCATAGCAACCGTTGTCGGCAAGTCAGGCCGTGTGACAAGTCGCGGCATGCGTGGTCGCATCGCGGCATGCCCATCCCTCCTTTGTCAGGCATCTGACTCCGGATACTCACGCGTCCGTCATGGCTGCTCAAGGCATGCTGTGTAGACCAGGCAGGCCGTAGTGCATGTCCGACCGCCCTCCCGACACCCGGAGGGCAGGCCGTCTGGCCGTGCAGGCTTTGAAATCGGCTCGGCGCGCGGAGGACGATGCAGGGGCGACCTTCCAACAAATGAAAATGAAACAAGAGAATGGATTCGCGGAAGCAGGGGGCGGTTCTCTGCAGGCCGTCCGGGCCCAGGTACGGGTGGGGACCTGGGGTTGGTCCTCAGGAGGCCAGTTCTCTCTGCAGGTGTCAGACTCTGGACGTACCATGCAGGCTTCACCTTCACTTGACAGAACCATCCATTCACCCCCCTCGGCTTCGCCAGCTCGAGCAGCGGCAGCAAGAGGCTGTCGCAGCACAGACTGCAGTACTCACGAGGATGAGGCTCAAGGAGCTGGAACGCAGCGGGCTTGACCCCGGCACGGGCGCGGCAGGGCCAGCCCCACTGCCGGGGCGCACCTCCAGTGCATCTGGCCCCGCATCCAGTGTCCGACCGGCGACCTCCGCCCTGCCCGTGGGCAGCAAGCCACGCCAATGGTGCATGGGCGGCGGCACAGGGGCAGTCCCCCCCCACGCTGCTGGGGGGGCGTGTGCGGTGGGCGTGGACAGAGAGTCCCTGGCCCCCAGTCCCACAGAGGAGCCGGCCAGGGGCCGGCCCGGCATGGCTCGCCGTCAGAGCACCAGGAGCCCGGCGACGTCCGCGACGCCTGAGCCTGCGATGCCCATTGCCGCGAGCTGCCCAGGGTGGAAGGGGAGGAGTGTCGTCGCGTCGACGGGGATGCAGCCACCCGCTGGGCCGGCGAGTGTGGATGCAGCTTGGAACGGGGCGCTTGGTTCCTGGACGACGGTGGCGCAGCCCTCGGCAGAACCGAGGCCCCCAGACGACGGCGCCGTGCACGGCCACGGCAGGGTGGAGGTGCTCAGCCGGCCCGAGCCCGGCACCCCCGGGTCGCAGGGGACGCCGGAGGCCCTCCCCCAGGTCCTGGAGACCCTCAGGCTGCGCTGTGCGTGCCTCGCCCAGGCCCTGCAACAGTGAGTCTGGCTGATTCGCAGGGCTGGCCGGCGGTGACCTGCTCGATGTGGGCGGCTGCCACGCCTCGGTGCATGGTGCTTGTGCCACCACCTGTGCCTGACGCCCCTCCCCACTCCCGCTTGTCCTGCTTCCTGGTGGCACCTGCACACCCTGCCGCGCCCCGCCTGCCACAGGGCGGCAGAAAGCCTCATTTCTGCAGGGCTGGAGCTCCCGCCGGGAGTGCAGAATGTTGTCACTGCGCTGGGCATGGTCCTGCCGGTAGCCCCAGGTGCCCAGCAGCCCAGGGCGGATGGGTTCGGGCCTTGCCAGACTTGTGCTAAAACCTGCTTTTTGTTCGTGCTTCTTGATGCTGCCCGCTGTGGGCCTCCTTCGTCCAGCATCGGACATGCATTGACACAGAGCGCCAGTGCTTCCATGGGCCTGCAGCTGGGAGGATTGGCTTGCTCCCTGTGAGGCAGCCTCCCCAACCATCCCCTTCTCGCAGTGGAGGAGTCGCCACCGGCCCCCCGCACGCAGCCGTCGGCCCCCGCCAAGCCCCAGGCACGCAGGAAGGTCGCACTCTCAGAGCGAGCCGCCTTCGCCTCACCCCTGGAGCGACTGGCCTCTGCCTCGCCTTCGCAGCGCCTCGCCTCCGCCACGCCCTCGCCGACGGCCGCCGGCGCCCGCGCCGGCGCGACCATCAGACCCTGCGCGCCGTCGGAGCGGCGCCGGGGCCCCTCCCACGTCAAGTCGGCGGCGCGCAGCGTGCGCGGCGCGCGCAGCGACCCGCACTCCGCCGCGCGGCTGGCCACGCTTGCCGGCTGCGCACGCGTCGCCGCCGTGGCGGGGCTGGTGGAGGCCAAGCGGGCGCGTGCGCGCTACGCGCAGCGAGCCGGGCTGGCGCAGGGCGCCAGTCTGCCGCCCGCGGGGCCGCGGGCGCAGCCACTGGGCGGGCTGCGGGCGGCGGAGATGCCGGGCGCCCCCTCGGCCAAGCGCGGCGCGGTCCCCGTGCTGAGCTGGGCGGGGATCAAGGCCTCGGCGCCCAGGGTCCAGCAGCGACGCTCCCCGCTGCACGGCTGGGGCGTGTACGCCCTGGAGGACATAGGTGCGGCTTGGCGAGGGCCATAGGGGGGGATGATAGGTGTGGGGGGGGGCGAGAGTGGTTTGCGCCGGGGCGCTGCAGACTGGCATGCCGTGCGGGCCGGGGTGCATGTGCGGGGGGCGCAGCGCTGACCTGGCGCAGTGCAGCGTGCGCCCAGCGGTGCTCAACTTGGCCACTCTCAATCCCTCGCCAACCCATGGCGCAGAGCCCGAGCGCTTCATCATGGAGTATGTGGGGGAGCTGATTGGCAACCGCATGGCAGGTGTGCGGGCGTTGGGGGGATGGGAGGGCAGGCGACGGCCATGTGGCTGGGCATGTGCCTGCACATGGAGGTGCATGGCCGCCCCGCCGTCAGGAGTCTCCCTCTCCTCGGGCCTGCAGACCTGCGAGAGACGCTGTACGACCAGGACGGCACTGGGACCATGTACCTGTTCAGGCTGGATGCCACCCAGGTGGTCGATGCCACGCGTGTGGTGAGGAGTGGCTCGATGGGTGGGGGAGGGGGTTGGGAGGGCAGGAGAGCAGGGGGAAAGGCAAGGCAAGGGGTGGGCGTTTCCAGGGACATGCTGTTCTGAGGCATTCCTTGGGAAGTGGGAGAGCTGGGCGGGACGCCCTGCATACCGTCCTGGGAGGGCTCAGGGTGCCTCATAGAGTGGTCCAGGGTGTGACCGGAGGGCCAGGCCTTTGACATGGAGCGCGCAGCGCTGGCAATGTCACAGAGTTACCCTACCCCCACGCAGGGAGGGCAGGCGCGGTACATCAACCACAGCTGCGACCCCAACTGCTACACCAAGGTGGGCAAGGGGGGATTGATCCCGGCCCCTGCGTGTGCGAAGTGTCGGTGTTGTGCGGGCATCGCGCCTGAGCACCTATGGAGTCTCCAAGATGGATGCCCTTGGCTGCATGGAGCTCGGCATCAGCATCCCCGCCTGCAGTCATGGCAGAGACACTCACGAACTCCCTCAATATGGCATGACATGGTGCAGGTGCAGATGGGGCCGGATGGCCGCAAGCACATCACCATCGTGGCGAAGACGCACATCCCTCGTGGCAGTGAGCTGTGCTACGACTACCTGGTGAGTCAGGCTGGCTTGGGGGCTAGAGTAGAGTGGACTACGAGCTTGGTTGATGCGGTCGCATGCAATGGTCCTGGATGTGCCCCGATGAAGGTGGGAGACACCCTGAGGGCGTGGTGACCTGCGCAATCTTGTACCCTTACGTCAGGTGCTGCATCCCACGTGCCCTGCTTTCCACCACCCTGCAGATGGAGTTGGAGCCGGAGGGGGAGGCCATGCCATGCCACTGTGGGGCCAAGAACTGCCGGGGGCGCATGAATTGAAGGCGTTAATGAGGCTGATAGGTGATCATATCCCGGGTGCACTCATGCCATTGAGTCACACCGCGATCTGGCGAGCATGTTTCCGTGCCTTTAGGACATGCAGGTTTAGGTAACAGTCTGGCAAAGATGTAGAAAAAGGGACGGGTGGCGCACACAGCCTGCACATGAGAGGGGCAATAACTGGGGTTGCACTTGGCCGCCCCAAGAGACCCGGGCCAAAAGCTTGCTTTCCGGCTTCAGCTCTGTTTCTTGGCGCCCTGGCTGGTGACCCACTTGGCGGCGCCCACGGTCAGCGCTCCCAACATCAGCACACCTAGTGCTGGCTGGAACACTAGGGGCCAGAGAATGTACCACAGGTCCAAGATGGCCTGGCAGGGTTGTGGGAGTTTTTTTATCCCTTCAGATGGGTACAGCCATTTCTACACAAACGTTGACAGATAGTAGGCAAACTTGCATGAAACACTGTACACACATCCTCCCTCCAGTCCTCAACTGCAGTAGCATGCTGGCAGTGGCAGGGAGAATGGCAACACCGTCCTCCGCATGCTCACCGAGGAATGAAGGATGGCCACGGATGCGAGGCCCGCACCCAGCCATGCCAGCGCGAATAAGACGAAGAAGACGCAGAACACCAGGCCCTGTCGGCGGAGACGTTGGAAGTTGCGACGGGCACGCTGATGCATGTATCACTCTCTCAGCGCTCTCAATGACACTTGCGATTGGGCAAAAAATCCCCCCAATGCATGGGAACAATGACCTCCAATACACACACCTTCTCCAACGTAGCCAAGAATCCAGAAGAAGACTCCTCGGAGGCTTCACTCGCTTGGAAGCGGGAGGGACCTGCTTGCCCCAGTTTCTGCTGGGAGGATGCTCTTTGCTGGAAGGATTTGATTTCCCGGGCTAATGTCTCCTCCAGATCTGGCCATGGAGGGGGCGATGAGCCGTGAGACTCCATGCAGGGCATACATGTCCAATTGAATGCGCATTGGGACACCACCCGACCCTGCGCACCGGCGTCTTGCTGGCTCTCCGTTCCAGCCCGCATCCTGACAGGTCGACATGGCCTGCACGGCCTGCTCGGAAGCGAACGCCGGCTCGGGGTCCATGCAACCCGCTCTACCCCATGGCAATGCACGAGAGATGCCATTACATGAATAAGAATGGACTCGAATGTGCCATGTGGGGTGCGAAGGGCGGGATGTGTATGTTGCCCTCTCCTCCAAAGCTGGCCGAGTCAGCGCGCAAGACAGGAAAGACCAGCATTGGGGCCAAGGGCTTCCCTCAGTTCAACCCCTGTCGGAAGCTGCCGAATGCGGTCGACACCTCCCGGCACGCATTCTTCCAGTCACAACCGTCCAATCCATAGAGTGTGAGCTTGTTCGCGTGGCTGTCAGAGCATCGTACACCCGTGGCCGTGTGCCGGTGGTCCAGCTGGCTAGGAGTGCGCCACCGCCGGCCCTCCGCCCGCGTATCGCTACACTCCCCGACGCCGACGCGCACAGCTGAGTGCACCCTATACATCGTCCCACGGCGCTTGTCGTTCACTGTGCATTCCTAGATCCGGGAGCGGATGGCCTCGCAGTCGCCCAGCCGACTGAGCCAGGCCGGCCAGCCAGGCGATGAACCGCCGCGCAAGCACCGCTCCACCCTCCTGACAGGTATCTTTGGCATGTAGGGCAGCCGCAGGCAGTATGGGGGCCCACACCGTGTCACCTCCATTGTTACCCAATCGATGTGGCAATTCCCCCTCCCTGCAGTTTGCCCTTTTATCCTGGGCAATGAGTTTTGTGAGCGCCTGGCTTACTACGGGTGCGACACTGAGGGGCAGGGCGGGTCGATGTCCTGCCGCACAGCCTAGACATTGAAGCAGGGGCATATGTTGAGAGTGCATGCATGCATTCCTGCTCTGCTTTGCATGCCATGATTTCCGTCTCCCACCCACCCTTGCACCCCGCCAGGCTGTCCACCAACCTCATCCTGTACCTGACACGCGTGATGGGCGAAGAGAGCGGGCATGCCGCTCTGCAGGTGTCCCTCTTCTCAGGCACCTGCTACCTGACGCCGCTGCTGGGGGCCTGGCTGGCGGACTCCATGTGGGGCAGGTACAAGACCATCATGGTCTTCTCCCTCATCTACTTCCTGGTGCGCCAGGATCTTCACTGGGTGGTGACCCTGTCCAGTAGGAGCGCCCCAGGATGGGATCTAAGCATCATGACCGGCACCCGCCTGCAACTCCCTGGGGCCGAGCGGTGCACTGGACTTCTGCGGAGGAGCGAGGATGCAGCTGCAAAATGCATAGCATTTGGCACCCTCCTCATCACAATGCCAACAGCTCATCATATCTGGTTACACGCCGCTGTGCACTGCCACACTTCTATGATACATTAGAAGGATCTACAACCCCCATGTCCGGACTCCTCATACTCGCAGGGCATGCTGCTCCTGGCGACGACGGCCCTGGTCCCGGCGCTCACCCCTCCCCCGGACCTGTACCCGACCCGGCTCCAGAACGCCGCCCTCTTCACCTCCCTGTACATTGTGGCACTGGGGACAGGCGGCATCAAGCCCAATGTGTCTGCCTTCGGCGCAGACCAGTTTGACATGGCAGATCCGCAGGTAGGTGGGAGGCCTCCTGTATGGGCGGGGGAAGGGGGCGGCCTGGACAAGCCTGCGGTGTCCTATGGCCAGACCATGCCCCACGCCCTGCCTGGTCTGGCACGGAAAGCACGGAGGGGCGGCGCCAGTCTGCCTCAATTCTCTTTTGTGCATCGCCACCAAACACCGCATACCCACCTCAAGCTCTCTTCATTTACGACCACCCGCTGCAGGACCGCAAGGAAAAGACCTCCTTCTTCAACTGGTTCTACTTCTTTGTCAACATCGGATCCTTCATTGCCGTCACAGGTACAAGTTGTACTTTGCAGCAGCAAGCCGCCCTATGCAGAGTGTCAGTGGTGTCTCAATCTCTTCCCACCACATTTCACCTACACCTCCAACGTCCTCCCCATCCCTTTCAGTCATTGTATGGGTCCAGGAGAACGTGAATTGGGGCGTCGGGTTTGCCATTCCGGCAGCCTGCATGGGCCTGGCCATCCTGGTTTTTGTGGCAGGTTCCCCAATGTACACTCACGTGGTGCCGACGGAGAGGTGAGGTGGGGCGCCCGAGGGGTCGGGCATGTAGGAGTACAGGGTGTGGAGCATTCGTGGGCCAGGTTCTCTGGGCGCACGCACTGCCTGGATTCCGCCCGGCTGCCACTTCCCATGACCCCCACCAATGATTAAACCCTGTCCGCAGTCCCATAACCCGCGTGTACAACGTGGTGATGAGCGCCTGGAGGGAGAAGCGGCGCGGCGGGAACGTCTCCCCCGACGAGTATGCGGTGAGTTGCAGGAGGCAGAGAGGGGGTGCCTGAAGGGTGGGTGTGGGGTCGCTGGAGATCGGGCGCAGGGCCAGGCGGGCGGTGGTTTGGCGCGAGTCTGTGCGCCACGCAAGACGCCCCTCAGATCGTACACGGAACAGTTTGTCTCATCCGATGCTTGTAGCCCTCTTCAAAATCCCTCCACCCCCCACGCCAGGAGGACGGCCCCGACCTCTCCTCTCCGCTGCTCGGCAACGGGGCGGCCCACTCCCTGCTCACTGGCGCAATTGGCGGCAGGAAGGCCCCCGGCGGCGCCGGTGCCCCCCCGCTGCACCCCGTCCAGAGCTTTGCATGGCTGGACGCGGCGACGCGCACGCGCGTGTCGCCGGGCGGGGTCGCACGTTTCACGCGGCGCCAGGTGGAGGAGGTGAAGCTCGTGCTGCGCATGCTGCCTATCTTCGTCACCACCATCCTCTACTGGACGGTGTACATGCAGGCGAGAAGGGGGGGGGGGCATCTGAGGGTAGAGCGTCGAGCGGCGGCCAGCACGCCCAAACACCCCCGCCCAACCCTTATGCGAGCAGAGCACCCACCTTCTCCCTAACCATGCACAACAACGCAGATGGGCTCCTTCTTCGTGGTGCAGGGCGCGTCCATGAATCGTACCATGCCTCTGCCTGGGGGTGGGACCTTCACCATCCCCGCCGCCTCACTGGCCATCGTCAACACGCTGGGCATCGTGCTGCTGATCCCGCTCTACGACCGCGTGGTCATCCCACTGCTGCGCCGCGCGGGGCGGCCCATGACCCTGCTCCGCCGCATCGGCTGGGGCATGGTGGTCTGCGCCGGGGCCATGTTTGCCGCCGCGTCGCTCGAGGCCTGGCGCCTGCGCCTCTACGCCGCCCACGACGTGCTGCCGGCGGCGGGTGCCAATGACTGGGGCAGGGTGGTGAACCTGTCCGTGTGGTGGCAGGCGCCGCAGTACCTCCTCGTCGGTCTCTCCGAGGTGGGCAGACTTGTTGTGGTGGTGGTGTTGATGGTGTGGGGTGCTCTTGTTTGGTGTCCTTTTGGAATGGGGTGGAACATCGAGGCCCTGACGTGAGGAGGAAGGGACCCCGGGGTGAGGTGGGGAATCGAGTACGCTGGTGGTCGCTGAGAGGCTGGTGCGCACGAACACACCTGCCTGTGGTCAGACGCGTGCCCTGAAACTTCTCCCACCAAGCCTTCCCATCTCGCCACGCAGGTATTCACCTCCATCGGGCAGCTGGAGTTCTTCTACGACCAGGCCCCGGACGTCATGCGCTCCTGCTCCATGGCACTCCAGGTGGGCGGCGAGGAAAGGGGGAAGTGTGGGGTTCGGGGCCGAGGGTCTGCAGCATGCCTCCAAGCACCTCGTCAGGCGGCGGCCGGTCAGGCTTGCTGCGGCGGCCCCGCCTCTCGACCTTCATCCACCCAGCCGCAGCCCTCCCAACTCCCCACCCCGCCACCCGCGCGCAGCTCCTCAGCGTGTGCATCGGCTCCTACCTCTCCGGAGGGCTGATCTACTTTGCGGACATCATCACCCGGCGCCTGGGTGAGTGCTGCTGAGAAGGCCTGCTCAGTGTCGTGCATGCTTGGCCAGGCAAGTGATCCCTGCCCTGCACCTACTCTGCTCATACCCACCACCCCTACTACCACCCCCCTCCCATCTACCAGACCCCGAGGGCTACGGCTGGCTGCCCAAGAACCTGAACAAGGGGCGGCTGGACCTGTTCCTGCTCTGCCTGGGGGGCATCATGACCCTGAACTGCATCATCTTCTGGAGGGTGGCCGTCAAGTATGAGTACAAGACGGTGGAGCACGTGCAGCGAGTCACGGTGAGGCGCTTTTGGGGAGTGGCCTGGCCGGGGTGCTTTGCTGAGGGCAGAAGGGTGTCTGAAGTCTGGACAGAAGGACAAAGGATGGACCATCATCAGGGCAGTTGGTGTGGCTTGGGGGGATGCTGTGTGATGGGCAGGTTGCATGGCGGCAGTCTTTCGCAGGGTCCTTTGCTGTGGACGCGCTCAACAATACCTACCGTGCGCCCAGACCCTTCGCAACCCTCTCAGCCTCCTGCTCGCAGATGTGCACCCCCACGATTGACCATTCCTGCCATGCACGCTGCAGGTTCGCGAGCGGCCGCCCCGCCCCGTCCCCGGCCCCAGGCCGCCGTCCGCGCCGCTGGCCTCCCCCGGTACCTCGGCGGCCCACCAGATCCTGCCGCGCCTGCCGCGCGAGTCGCCCGCCCCGGCCCTGTACGGCCGCTCGGTCACCTTCATGCCGCCCTCGCCGGTGATGCCGGCGGTCCGGCGCTGAGTGAGGCCGGCCGCGCAACGCCGATCGAGGCCGGCGGTGCGGCCTGCGGGAACCATGCATACACCTTGCCCTTGCCCTCTTTGCCTGCATCCTCGGCCTGCCCAGCAGAGTGTGAGGTGCTTTCTGTGAGTCTGTCGGCAGGAGAGCAGGGTGTGCCAACGACTCTCTGGACCGGAGCATCCAGGATCAGTGGAATCTCGTCGTCATGGGCGAGGCCTACGGCGTGAGGAGGCGGCCTGGAGGTCCCGCTTCAGGCCAAGTCGCCCGCACCCTCGTCGCCGCTGCTGGCATAGCCGCCCAGGAGCCCAGCCAGGCCGGTGTCGCCCTCTGGGTCGGAGGCGGCCGGAGGGTCGGCCGCGTCATCCTCCTTTCGCACGACGCGCCGGAGCATTGGCTTGAGGACTGCGCCCAGGCCCCTCTTCTGGGGCAGCCGGGGGCCGGTCTGCTGCGGCGCGGCGCGGCCCGCGGTCTCTGGCGGCGGCGCGGCGGGGCCGATGAGCACGCCGGGGGGGTCAGAGCGCAGACCCTCCTCCTGCTCCTGACGCAGCCGGCGGAAGGAGTCCAGCTCCGCCGCCTCCTCCTCCTGCTCCCGCCGTCGCTTCAGGGCTTCCGCCTCCGCAACGGCGTCGAAGAACTCCAGCTCCTCCTCATCCAAAGGGCGGTTTTTGCCCTGCCAGTGTCAAGAGGAGGCGGGGTGGGTGGGGGTGAGTTGAGGGACCAGAAGATATACAGGGAAAGGCCTAGAGACACAGGTGAGGTGAGCCCTCCCAGGGTTCAGAATCATTTACCCGTGCAGTAGCCTCCTACCATTTTCATGGAGGTCATGACATCCACACCATACTCCCAGGCCTCGGTACAGCCTCGCTACCCACCGTCTTCATCTGCTTCCATGTTTCTTGGAAGGCCGACTCCTTGGCCTCCTTGGCGTCCCTCAGCACCTCCGCCAGAGGCTTGGAGGCAGCAACCTCTTCGGCGCTGCGCTGATTCTGTGCATCCTGGATGTCCCGTAGCTGCAGTAGGAGCATGGAACCCAGGGGTGGCGAAGCTCATTGCAGCCATCTGGAAGATTTTGGGAAGGCAGACATACACACCAACCCTGACTTCCTGCCAAGGGGTTCATGCAGCTTCCCTTTGCATACCTCCGACTCTGTCACAAATCTACGATCGTCTCCAAACAAGGCCTTGAAGGCATTCGCTCGGCTCTCCACCTCCGCCTTGACGGACTCTGTAGGGAACACGGAGGTTGCATCCCTACCCAAGACAGCTTCTCGCTCAAACACCTGCTCCTCTCTGCGGTGATGAACGACACCGATGGATACAACATCTTTCTCATTTGGCTTCTGATTAGGCGAACCTCGCAAATCACTTCCACTCACGCAGGTATGCGAATCATCTCCATTGGTCGCGATTCCTCCATCGTTTGTGACCCACTATGTTGGACAACCTGCAACCCTCCTGTAATGCAATGGTATCTTAATAACTCATTTCTGTGACCAGGTGTCGTCACCCACCTTGGTGGTCAAGTTGGGATGAAACCGAGGAACAGATCGTCCACGCTGTCCAATGTACAGGGTTGCCGCATGGCGACATGCATGCGGGGGTTGGGTACATTGTACAACTAAAAGCACCATTCCCCCCCACACACGATCAAGGTCCAGCCATGTGTTTGGGTGGGCTCCTCCATTGGACTGCTATATACAGCCTTAAGTTGAGAGCAATCAGATTTGCACAGATTTAAGACCAGGAGAATACTGTATGAGCAGCGCTTCACGTCATTTGCACTTTGCAGGAACCAGGATGCTCTGATCTTGCAACGAGTAGATTGGAAATGCTCTGTCTTAGGGTGTCTATTGCGTCAATGTGCCTTCAGCAAGAATTCAAACACCGATGGTTGTTCAGGCAAATCACAATATCAGCCATTCTTTCCGCCAACACCTACTCCCTGCAAGTGAGCCAGTCACCTCCCAGGTACCCAGCAACCCTTGCCCAAGACTCTACCCCTTCGTCTGCTCTGGATTGATCCACACATTCTACATTCAGACTGCGATTGGCAAGCAGCAGGGTCTGCACAGTTTGGTCACTGGCACCGCACAGCTCGCAGAGCAGCCTTCTAAGGCATGAGGGCACTCCTCACTTCAGCTTGTCAAATAGGCGTGCAGCAACGCACTTGTCGACGCACCTCCAGTAGTCAAAGTACTGTGTGAAGTGACACGCATGAGTAGGCAGAACTGGATGTCAAGCTCAGAGCCTTCAGCGAAATCTATGTCACCTCACCCCACACACTGAGCAATGCAGCACGATTCACCCTCACCTGGCCTGTGCAGTGCGCCTCCCCAGTGGTGTCATTCTTGACTCGCTCGCCGCAAGCCTGTCGGAATGGGTCAGGTGGCTCAAGTCCGTGCGAGAGAGACCGGGCCCCGCCACCACCGTCGTTCCCCGCACCCTTCTGCATTCCCGCCTCATCGACCCCAGGCTTACCTCATACTCTAGCAAGTACTTGGTGCATCGTGGCTTGCACCGTTCCTCCTCCTCAGGCTTCGGGCACACTACCTCGTCCGACATGGTGGCCGAGACCCGAGCGCGTTCGACGCCACTTCCTTCTAGACAAAAGGCCACGTTACGCTGGGGGTCAGGGAAGTGATCTCTGCAACGAGCCCCTCGATGGGTTCACAGGCATGTAGTCACCTGGAGGACCCAAGCGGTACCGATGGCCGGGGGTAGTACCCAGCACGGCTCGCTGGTCCCATTCACAGCCCCCATCAAACGCAAGTAAGCCAACAAATGAACATAGGTAGGCCGGTCAGGAGTGAATCGGTGGTGGTTTTATTGCTGACGACTCCACAGGCGTTTGCTTAGATCGGAAAGGGCGCAAAGTCTTTGGCTCCGGGAGGATCACTTGGAGGTGATCTTGCAACCATGAGCGTCCCCGAGGACGCCCCCATCAACATGGACCAAGATGCTCCCAAGTCCACGAGCGCACCATCCAAGAAGCCTGACATCGACCCTGTGAAAGTAGAGGAAGGCATTGCCAACGCCCGTGCTCTGGCAGCCCAGGGCTCTCGGGAGGAGGCCATCAACGCCCTGCTGAGCATCGAGCAGAAGGGCCGCTTGGCCGAGGACGTGGCAATCACCCGCAGCGCCTGCACGGCCATCCTGGAGGTGTGACCTAGGTGCAGCTGGCTGACAATGGCAGAGAGGGTGAACATACCACCCCTATCGGTAGGTTGCTGGAGCCCCGACGCCCATTCCACCATCCATTGACCCCCTTGCAGATAGTGCATGCTGCGCAGGATTGGACTGGGCTCCAGGACACCCTGCTCCTCCTCTCTAAGAGGAGGAGCCAGCTGCGCCAGGTTATCACGGCCATCGTGCGGCAGGTGATGGGGTATGTGGACGACACTCCAGACCTGCAGACCAAGACGGCCCTCATAAAGACGCTGCAGGACCTCACAGAGGGCAAGGTGAGTGATTGGATAGGGTGTGAGCCTAAATGGAGTCAGCCGGGCAGGCTGGGGCATGAGGAGAGATCCCTTGGCATGCAGCAACTTGTGGAGCGGGTGCTTTGGGTGGGAGGCGCCCACTGCTCCCCGCGGAGGCCTTTCCACCCATGCACAGATTGCACGGGGCCCCCTCTCCACAGATACCTCGCCCATCCCTCTCACTCCACACGAATGAAAACCCCGTCAGATGTACGTGGAGATCGAGCGCGCCCGGCTGACCCGACGCCTCGCCCAGATGACTGAGGAGGCCGGGAAGGTTTCGGAGGCTGCTGACATCCTGCAAGAAGTGGCAGTGGTGTGTACGCAGGGGATTGGCACTGGGCGTTTCGAAGATGAGGGGGGTCTGGACTGATGGGTGTGATTGAGTGCAGTGCAGCCTGTGTCTGAGGGACTAACGAGATATGTCGGTAGTGCAGGGTGTCTGGCACCATATTGCGCGCCCCCCTCCGATTTCTGTGCGATCTCGGCGCAGGAAACGTTTGGGACAATGGCCAAAACGGAGAAAATTGCTTACATCCTGGAGCAAGTCCGGCTGTGCTTGGACAAGGAGGACTTTGCCAGGGCCCAGGTGGGGAAAGCGCTTGCAGGGCAGGCTCAGGCATGCCTGGGCCAGGGGAGGGATGTGCGGCCTGCTGCCTAGAAGTTCAGTAGTTGGGATCTGCCTTGGCAGCTGGCCACCCGGGATGGACGTCCTATGTCCCTCTGCCAAGAAGCGAGGGGGTCGTGCTCTTAATGCACCGCCACATCCCCTACTCGTTCCCCAGATCCTCTCCAAGAAGATCTCGCCGCGCACATTCGTGCCACGGGCAGAGGCGAAGAAGGGGGAGGGCACGGGCGAGATAGGCATTGAGGGCACGGCCATCGAAGCTGCAGAGCCGGTTAGTGTTGTGTTTATGCCAGCCGCTGCATGGGTTGCATACTCATGTTGTCTGAGGCTTGGGTGCCTATGCGTCACGCTCTGTCGCGGTTTGACAGCAGGTGCACCTTTGAACAAGCCTCCTGCATGTGCCCGCAGGGCACTCCCTCGCTGGAGGAGCTCAAGAAGCAGTACTACGCGCTGATGATCCGGTACCATGCGCACTCCGGCGACTACCTGGAGATATGCCGTGCGTACAGAGCCGTGTACGAGGATGGCAACAGCGAGGTGGGAGGGGGATCAGGGAGGGCAGGAGCGATCAGGGATCTCATAGAGGCTAGGAAGGCCAGGCGTGGCGGGCATTCATCCCAGGAAGGGAATCCCTTCACTGAGACATCTGTGTCAAGCTGCAGGAGCCATGGGTGCGATGCATGTCCTGTTCCTTGACACGCCACCTTAAACCTGCAGACGCTTGAGAAGATGTGCTGGTATGCAGTGCTGGCCCCTGCAGACTCCGACCAGATCACTCTAGCTGCTAACACGGCGGTGAGGGGAGGAATGTGTGGGACTGCAAGGATGGGGTTCTTGGCCTTTAGGTGGTGTATCGTCTGTCTGCTTTACCCCTGTTTGAGTTGTTCTTGAGTGTCTTGAAGGTGACCCTGCGTGTCTCATCATACCTCCTCCAGGCCGAGCCTGGCCTGTCCCGCCTTCCAAAGTACAAGGACCTCCTGCAACGTTTCAACACCAAGGAGGTGGGGATGGTGAAGGGTTCCTGGCACACAGCTTGTGGTAATTACCTTTGGAAAAGATCGAGGAAGGGCCAAGGGTGGCCATGGGCCTGGCTCGTCCCAGGAACATGGCCTGACTTTGCAGGAGCACTTGAGATCTGGGGCCGTGGAGGCCCATGCTGGCTCCTGCAGCCTTGAAGCCGACATACAGCTCATTGACTGTAGGCTGTTTGTTACCAGCATCACACCACCTTCACCAAGACAAGTGCCATCTCCAAGTTCTGTTCCTGCTTCCAACGCCACAGATCCTCTGGTGGCAGCTGTTCACCGCTGACTTCAAGGCAGAGCTCGAGGCCGCGGACGGCATCTTCGGGGGTTCCAAGGGCGCCAAGCTCCGCGAAGGTGCGGCTGCGTCTGCAGGCTTGCGGCTGGTCTGGTTGGGGCCATGCGTCTGTGGGCTGGCTGCCCGCGGTGGGCATGTATGTAATGGCCTGAGCCCTGGCTAGCTGTGCCCAAATGAGCACAAGGTGCAGTGGTCTTCCCACCCTGATCATCTACTGGACACTGGGCTGCAGACTTGGTGTCCAATGCCGAGTGCCAGCCCCGCCCTGGCCCACGCTTTACACCCCTATCCCCTGCAGACCTGAAGCTGAGAGTGGTGGAGCACAACCTGGTGGTGCTTTCCACCTACTACTCCAGCATCACCATGCAGCGGCTAACGCAGCTCCTGGACCTGACCACGGACGAGGTGCGCCTGTTGAAAGTAGAGGGGGGGGGAAAGGGGGGCAAAATGGCAGTGCTGTCGCTGGCATGGGAGTGGCTGCAGAGTTGTGTGCGGCGAGGAGAGTCAGGAGTGCTGGTTCCCCAGCCTCCTTTGCCCTTTCCTGTCTGTGAGCTTTCATGGTAGCAGCTACAAGACTCGAAGACATCCCCTGTGGCCCTGATGAATGTTGCAGGCGGAGGCGCGGCTGTCGGAGATGGTGGTGGCCAAGAAGCTGGAGGCACGCCTTGATAGGCCCGCTGGTACCATCCGGTGAGTCTACAGGGGGGTGAGGGGTAGGAGCATGGGTCGGGAGGGAGCAAAGGAGAGGGAGCCGAGCAGCATAGCATGCTGCTGGTCGCTGCACATGGTCCAGTCTGCTGACATACACAGCTTTGCAATGGTGCCCTGCAGCGGCAGAAGACCTGAGCTCACACCCTTTCCCTCTGCTCACCCAGATTCGTCAAGGGCAACGGTTCTCCCTCCGCCACACTCAGCGCATGGACGGCTAACATCGCCCGCCTCCTCGAGACGGTGGAGCGGACGTGTCAGCAGATCCAGAAGGAGAGCATGGTGCATCGGGTGCCCATCGGGGCTCAGTGAACCCTCTGTGCAGCTGTGTGAGCGCGGCACATACGAAATAGCTTGCAGTCGTGAAGGCGAGGACGAGGAGGAGCAGACTTGGTGCTGGGTCTGAGGGGGCTTGGGCGATGCTGGGGACCGCGATGGCGCCTTGAGGGGAGGCGATCGAGTCGACTGCCGACCTGCGCCCTCCGGAGGGAGAGGAAAAGCCTTCCCGCGCCTAGAAAACGTCTCTTCGACAATTATAACTTTCAAGTATCAGCAGCACTTGCATGGCGACTCGATAAATTGCGGTTCAATCTTGGTACATGTCGACATGGCCCCCAAACCCGCCGGCCCACCCAAGGCCAAAGGAGGCGGGAAAACCATCGAGGGGGGTGGTGTAGACGCCAAGTCTCGGATAGAGGCGATCGAGAGGGAGATTCAGGAGCAGCAGAAGCTGAGAGTCCATGCTCAGCTCGAGAGGGTGAGGCACGCGGCACTAGCTTGGCATCCTCACTGTTACATCAAGCTCGCAAAGCTCCAGATTGGATCACTCCTGGATCACTCATCTGCTGAAGAGCTCTACGGTGTGTGCAGGACTGGGTGCAGGAACGCTGGGAGGCTTCCATCAAGACTGTGGCCGCCCTTGAGACCGCCTTGCTTGCTAAAGAGGTCGAAGCCGAGGCACTACAGACCCAACATGGCCTAGACCTCAAGGTACTAACAGACATCTCGGTGCTTGGCTGGCCTGAGCGATTGATTCTTGCCAACAGCACTCATGCTCTCCCTTCATGACCTTTTTTAAAGGTGTATCGTGCTCGCGTGCGACAGCTCCTGGCAGAGGTAAGGGATGGCGCTATTCAGATCCAGGATGCAGCAGCAGCCAAGGCTGTGGACAGGGAGGCTGGAGCTGCCACCAGAGAGGCATCGCTGCTGCAACAGATCCTAAGGTGGGATGGCACTGGCGGGGTGCCTTGGACCCGCTGGAAGGTGCAGAGAGTGCCTTGTTCCTGGTCAAGACACAGAGCATGGGCTGAGCATTGCTGGCTTTGCAGAAGTTGACAGACGTTGCTCTTCATGAAGCAGGGCATCATAGCAAAAATGAACAACATCCCCCTCCAGAAAGGTCGCTGGTTCCCAACCCTCTCGACTCCTCTCTGCTGTCATTGGGTGGACAGTCTGCAGGGGGTTCATCGTGAGGAGGCCTTGCACCACCAGCAATCAATGGATGCTGCTGTGGCATCTGGCACAGAGGGTGCACGAGCTGCTTGGAGAAGCGCTGAGGAGAGGACTGCCTCCCTGTGCCAGGCGTTTGCAGAGGAGCTGGAGCGGATGTATGGACAACTAGAGGACTGCTATGCTCAAGGTCTACTTGGACATGTACTGGAGCTAAAAATAGCTTGGCGCAGATTTAGTTGCAGCAGGATGACGATGATCGACTCCAAGTCGGAAGATGATTGACCTGCCAGCCTCCCCCTCGCAAATCCCTGCAGACTTGGTAGCGACGGTTTCGTCTGCGCAGGCGTCTGCTGCCTCCCTCATCGCCAGCCATCATAAGGTAAAACGGGGCCCTCAGTCTCTGCTTGTTTCCCGCTCTTCGCATGCCGAACGAGCCGACCGTGTGCTTTGGCTAACATCAGCCCCAGACTGGCCCCACATAAAGACTAAAGCCTCCCTATTAATTCCATGCAGGAGCTGAAGGCAGCCGTCGAAGCGTCCAAGGCAAGAGAGCAGCGCAGGATGAACGAGATGTTGCTGATCAAGGTGCGCCGGTGGTTGTAATCAAATGTCTGACGATATGTTGTTACTGGATGCCGTGGAGGCACAGCAGGTCTCCCTGAGTAAAGAAGAGGCGTGGTCCTCTTTGGTATCCTCGCCCCTTTGATTCTCTGGCACAGGAGGAGGCCAGGGCCGCTGCTGTGCAGTATAGAACTCTGCAGAGAGACCATTTTGCCCTACAACGGGCAAGCCTCGCGGGGGTCGTGCGCGGCACAATCCGCGAGCGGTCTCAGTCTCCTCCTGAGTATCACACTGGCAAACCTCAGGTGGGACATGCATGCTGACATTACCTGCTGAATGACGTTGGGCACTGATTCTTCTTCCAGACATGATCTGCTGGTGCTGAACGGCACGATCTTAACGTCATAAAGCCTCGTCGTTCATTGGAAACCCTGGCCTGTGGCTTGAACTCATGTTCCCTGTGACCCCTCAGGACCTGTCGGATGAGCTGGTACGTACCAGGGCGGCTCTGCACTCTGCTCAACGCAACCAGCAACGACTGTGGTGGGAGGCCCAACGCCTACATGTCCAGCTGGAAAAGGCATGCCAGGGAGGAAGGGGGACTTCTTGACCGCATCAGCATTCCTTGTGTGATTTTTGAGATCAGCCCCTAGGGATGAGGTAATTGTGATCCTCAGCAAGACTCAGAAGCACCGCGCAACCCTTGCAGAAGGCCGAGGATCACAAGCAGCTGTGGGAGGAGCTAAGACGGTTCGCGACCTGGCGACGGCGAGGAGCTCATGCGCCACGCCAAGAACTTCAGCCTGGCACCTTCATGGGTGATGTGCAGTCCGCAAGGAGCTGCGCTGGCATGCTGCAGGCTGGAGTTACCTCGAGGAGTCTGGTCCTGGGTCTTAGGCCGGTGAGCTCGGACTGTTCTTGAGGGCTGGAGTAAGGAGGGCAGAGAATCGGGCAGATTGGTCTGTTGGACCCAAGTCATGGACTGGAGGGTGCCATTAGTCCTAAGCAGGGCCGATCGGCAGACAGTGCACCTGCTGGGTGGCTCGCGGTATGCATCATGCCATGAGGTACTGCCAATATAACCCATCCCACCCTGCACAGAAGCCTGGCAGCCATGGGGGGAGCTCCCACAGCGCACACACTGCCAGTGGTTTGGCCTTGGCCCCTGCGGTTGCGGCCCAGCAGACAGGGCCTCATAGGGGTGTTAGCGGCGGCGATCAAGGAGCCTGCGAAGGGATGCAGAGTGGGAGCTCATCGGGCAGGCCGAGCAACGTCCAGTCGGGAGGATCCGGTAGAGGCCCCTGCATCATATCGACTGGCTCGTGCGAGGGCAGATCACCCATGGCCGAGGCTGCACAGCATGCCCGTGAGATGTCTCGGTCCGACCCCGCCACTGACCCTCCAGCAAGCATCGGCTGTGGCCCCCAGTCGGGGCGCCGTGATCCTGTTTCAGTCGATGCGAGTGCGCTGGGCGACGCCACCAGCACCAGCCCCGCACACACGCAGACAACAGATTTGACGCAGACAGGCAGCCAGCACACCTTGGCGGCGGCCAACTCACTCCATCCAGCGATCGAGGATGCTGCCTGTTTGAAGATGCGCCTCGGCCAGGGAGAGGATCAGGTGACATGCAGCCAGCAGGCCTCTCCTACCTTGATTGCAGGCGCCAGGTTGACCACCACATTCCCATTTGAAGTTGTGCATCGGACCAATTCTCTGGAGACAGACTCCCAGGATGCCCCGAGTGCCTGTCAACCACATGGGACTGGGCCTGGCAAGAGTACGTCCAGGACCGCTTCCATGTCCTGTATCCCAGCTGAGCCAGGAGAGCGGCCAAGCACAGGCGCCACAGCCGCGGTTGATCCGGTGATCAATCCACTGAACCCCGAATCTCCAGTGAACCTGCATGTCCGTGACCTGGACACTGCAAGCCAGGGTGGTGTTGCCCCCGCCCTAGGCGAACAGGCTGCAAGTGGGGAAGCGAAGGCGGCACGCCCTGCATCCCCATCAGCGGGGAGGAGTGCTGAGGAGCTGGCGCCAATTTCCCACCTGCAACCGGACACCCTGAAGAGCCCAGTTGCACAGCTGCATGTGCCTCATACCAGACCTACCCCCTTGATCCCGATGGCTGTGGCCTGCAGAGTCCCTGTTCCCGACTGGCAACCCTTGCAAGGCGTGCAGCATTGGAGCAGGGCAAATTGTGGCTCACCCTTCGCCATTGCCAGTCCTGTCATGCCTGCACCTCCTCCACCTGAGACTCTGGAGGGAGGTGACGTGCAGCAAAGGAGGGCCGACGACTCCTGCCTGCAGCCCACCCTGAGGCCAGGCACCTCCCCAACCGACCCCTCCCCCGACGCCCGAGCATGGACACTACGGCTGGACGACGGTCTGTCCGTTGCCCTGGCCGGAGCCGCTGCTGGAGCCGAGGCAGCGGTTGCCCGGGCGCTTGTGGCGCGGCAGCCGTGCTGAGGTTCGTTGTCATGTAGGCATCCCTCCTGAACCCGAATGCCGAAGGAACTGTGTTGGAAAACAAATTGACTGATCTTTCCATGTATTACAACTCAAAATAAGTAACTCAAGCAAGGGTTTCTACGGGATTGCCCGGAACAATACACGGCGTGATTGATACAGAGTAGTATCTGGCAAGGTTCTGATTGACAGGGCAGAAGCTAGCAGCCTAAACGCTGATGTCCACCGTCTGAACCTGCAGGATCATGCCTGTGGATAGGGAGACGCAGTGGGAGAGCAACTGATTGGGCTAAGGATTCATATCCAGCTACTCACACCCAAGGCACACAGGGGATGGGCATACTCAAGAAATGATGTGCAATACGAAGAACACAGAACCCCCCTCCCCCCCCCTCCTTGTGATGGCCAAGGTGCAGCGATGCATTGTTCTCCCAGTTGGGCCCCCCAGTACCCTTCCTGCTCACCATCCTCGCAAGCTGTGCCTGCCTGGCTGGTGAACCAGTAGGTCACCCCGCCGCCCGCCCCAGGGTCCGCCCAGATGTACATGCCAGTGGGGGAATGGGTTCCCTGCTGCAGGGGCGCCAGCTCCTCGCAGGGTGCGACGGCGGCCGGCGGCTGTGCAGACGACAGCAGGGAGCATGTCGAGGAAGCAGACGAGGTACCCGAGGGAGGAGGACAGATCCCCGGTCCCGGGATCTGGTAGACACCCTGGACACTGTGCCATCTGAAAGTCACAGTCCCTCCGGTGCAGATGGGGATGGGTCCATACGCAGCGGGCTCAGAGTTGAAGCCCCAGAAGTCCTGGCATTGAGGGGATTTGGCAGGGCATTGAGGTACCCATGTGGAGAGACCCACGAGGCATGGGCTCTCGTTGGAGTCCTGGTACTGTCACCCATGCGACTGCATGTTTGGAAGCGTCGTGCGGCACAGATTCTGCGACGCAATACCAGTTTGAGAGAGCAGCGCAACTCACCCAGTTCTTGTAGCAATTGCCAGCTGCGCAGGGGTAGGTGGGTGGAGCAGAATTGGATGGTAAGGTGAATGGCAGCCAGAGTAGCCCAACAATCAACGATGTTCCCTTGTCTCACGTGAGCACCTCTTTAACCTCACCTGCTCTCCCAGCGATCTGAGGCACAGTGGCGAGCAAGAGCAGGAGTGTCGCTGCCCATAAAGTAGCGAGGACGCCGCGCTGCTGAGCCATGAACGAGAATGGTATCCGCCTGTCAATCAGTCACTGCGATTTGTTGCAGCGCGGTGATGGGGCTCCATGGTCCGAAAGAGTGTCAACGTGCGTCTCCGTTCCTTTACTTGCTGGCCTTAGTGTCAGAAAACGCGTCGTTGGGTTTGCTCTCTTTGAATTCTAAAGCCTACGATGGATTCGATCGTCGATTTCAGGAAAAACTCCTTTGTAATCGAAAATGGTGTGTGACCCTTCGATCGCGCCACGGCACCTCCAGAACTACCCTAGAGATCACACGTCGGATTCTGCAGGTACTACTCTGTTCAAAACACCCGGGTAGGACCAACGACAAACGTGGGAATCTACCCAAAACAACGGCAATGAAGACCAATCAGAACTTCAGTCGTCGTCCAAGAAAGCCGCCGCCCCTCTCCTGCGCCTCTTCACTTCTTCCTTCGCGGCCAGCCTGGCGGCCTCGGCCTCCGCTTCTCGCCTATCCGCCTCCCGAGCGATGCGCAGCGATCGCTGCTCCTCCGCTGCAATGTCAGAGTACCTGGTGACCTCCATGCTCCGGTCATCCATCCGATCTACCTCTGCGAAGCGACCCGGATCATATCTGGAGAAGGGACAGCAAGGGTGTTGTTCTGAGTGTATGGGAATGCGATACCTGTGTGGCATGTTGAGGTGCGGCGATGGGCAGTGGGGTCCCCGGGCAAGGGAAGGGAGATACTCCGGTGCACAGCACAACTGGCAAGCGCATCGGAACAAAGCCTGCCACCGGGTTGCCTCACCCGCCCAGGGCAGAGCGCAGGGCGGATCTCCAGTCACCCTCCGCCCCGCCCATCTCGCCGTCGCCCTCGTCGTTGATGAAGTCGGAGGCGTCGGAGTCTTGAGCCTCCAGGGACAGTCTGCAAAGGGTAGGCAGAGAGGGATCAGACACAGGCTGGCACAAATTCACCGACGGACGACCAGGAGGCTTTGTGGACGGTCATGCTGTCTCAACCAGGCAATGCTGGTCCTCCGCTGCGGCCACATCACCAACCCTGGGAGTCGCAGACCACATGCACTGACAGAGCGCCAAGGCGGCCTGCATGAACATGCCAGCCACCAGCCACTGCACCTTCGCTTCCTCTGCAGAGCAGTGGGCGGCTGCTTCCCGCCGTAAAAAGTGCCCCGGAGATCCGGCCTGCATGACGAGTCCCCGCCAAGTCTGTTCAGGGGCTGGCCTGCTCTGCTCGTGACCCCTGATGGCAGCGCACCCCGCCGGTCGGGCGGCGACACGGCAGGGGAGGGGCCCTTTGTCCCAGGGGCGGGGCGAACAATGTGCAGCGTGCCCCTGCCCGTGGCTGAGGTGACCCCGATGTGGGCCATGGAGGCACGCTGCGATGCAGGTGCCGGCCTGAAGCTGTGTGATGGCAAGGACACAGGTGGCAGCGAGGCCTTGGCAGCATCCACTCGTGCCCTCAGCGCGGCGTCGGCCATCTGTTTCCTGTCCTTGCCAACTGCGTGGGTGTGAGGGACGGGCGGAGGGTGTAAAGTTAGCACCTGCCATGGCAATGTGGGCGGACCGCAGAACGTGGCGCCTCTTCTTCAATCACTTGCACCCCTCATACAAGAGCGATACCAAGATGCCCGGCAGCATCGAATTCCACACCTGCCGCCACGTTCACTGCCGTGGTTCGGCCCCCCTCGCCCTTCCTCCTGCCCTTGGTCGAGGTGACGGTGGCATGGGTGATCACCCGCTTGGACGGCGGCGGCGACAAACTCGTCGCTCGGAGTCCTGTCCCAGGGTCGGCCGCGGGACCCCTTGCCTGTACTGACCGCGCCCCTGCTGTTGCACGGATCTGGCCTGCGCCCAGCTTTGAGCCTGGGCCCGCTCTTTCCGTGTGGACGCCTGGCTTTGACTGTGATGCAGTTGGACGGCCTGGAGCCTTGGGCGCTAAACCCAGCCCGCTGAAGTCTAGGGAGGCTTTGATGGAGGTTTTGGGTTGGTGGTCTGGCTCCACTGCGCCAGCTTGCACTGGAGCAGGCCCGGGAGCATTGCCAATCTCTCGGCGGGCACTGCTCTGGGGGCGTGGGGGAGGGGCAGACACAGCCTGCCAGCCTGGGGCCCGAGCGGCTTCGCGCGTGGACACCGGGCCTCCGAAGAACGACGTACGACTGCAATTGGGGGACTGGGAGGGGACATTTGAGGCTCGTTGTTGTAAAACGGGACTGGCACTGATCTGGCGCCTGCCTCCTACCCGCCCTGCCTGCCAGAAACGCACGTCGCAAGACGGGAGCGCTCTGACTCCCTAAATCGAGCCGTCGACATTCAAAGAAAAAATCGCAATTCAGGCCTCATGCTGTCCTCCCGATTGTGATATCGCCTGTCGTGGTCCATCCCTGGCTCGACATAACGAGGCAAGTACGTGTCACATACTGGATGGCACGGCAGCTGAGCCAACAATAATACAATCACGAGTACATGTATCTCGGCGGTGCATTTGGTGGGAGTGATCGTGTCTGGGACGGCCTTTCTCAGACTCTCGGAAGTTGGTCGGGGGGGGGGGGGAGCTCTCGCCCGGCATGTATAGCAGGCCGAAAGGGGATGAGGGCTGCGTTCGGTGTATACATACAGCAAATTGCACACTTTTGCGGATCTAGAGTGATTTGTAATAAAGAACATACAATGACAAGGTTTGGGACGCTGGTCATCTGGCAGCTTACGGGACCAAGGCAGGCCTGAGTCGTGCCAGATCGCCCTCATGCCGCCAGCCACGAGGGCCACGGGGCCCCGCAATGTGGTGCGTCGGCCACTGGATCTGAGTGTGGTGTGCGAGGGTGCGGTGATGGCCCTGCACGCTCCCTGCCTGGCTTTGGGCGGTACCCAGCGATGAACAGCCATCAGATCAGAGCTGCACCATGCCGCTGCACAGGAAGTCACGGTGCTGCTGCTGGACATCGGCGCATCCATGCATGCAGACCTGGACAGCGCAGCGCATGCCCTGAGCGCATACGTCGAGACTAGGGTGAGGAGCGCTGGGGTTGCGCAGCGATACCAGCCTCTTGCATGCCCGATCATTTGAGCCCCTGCGCCCGATCCATACTGCTCCTGAGGGCGCCTTCCCGCCCATACAGATGCTGTCCAGACCCAACAGCGACCTGGCCCTGGTCTACTTTGGCACCTCTGGCACCTCCAACGAGCTGCACGACGAGGCGGCTTCTGCGGGGGACCCCACCCAGTACCTCCACATCAGCGTTGTCCACGCGCTGCAGCAGCCGGGCCTCTCCATGCTGCGATCCCTGCGACAGGGTGAGTCGCAGGCGGCGCGGCACACGGGACGCTATTCCTGCCCGTGGATGAAGCAGCGATGGTGGCTGCTCCCGAGAAGCTGCATCTTCCCGGCATCCTGTCGTTCCCTCGCGCCGACCTGCTCCCACTCCCTCGACACCCTGCAAGCCCTCCAAAACCTCCAAAGCCTCCCTCGTCCCCGCCCTCCCAGTCCCTCGTGGAGATGGAGAGTCTGACTTTGTGGACGCCCTCACGGTGGCCCTGGACTCCCTCTACAAGGCCGTGGCACTGCGGGACGAGCTGCAGGGACCCCGCGTCGCCAAGCGCATCGTGCTCCTGTCCCAGCTGGCGACGCAGGTGCACGGATCTCATGGTGCTTTGGGGTGGGTGTGGGGAGGCGGCCGTGCGGCGGTGGATGGCCTCGTGCCTGTTGAGGATCTGGAAGCCTGTCACCTGCTCCAGACCATGCCATCCAACCCCCCAGCCCGCCCTCCCCCACCGTAGATTAAGCCAGATCCGGGGAACGCGTTCAAGGACACCCTGGTCCGGAAGCTGGCTCAGCAAGGCGTGACGCTGGACCTGGTGTGTCTCCACCCGTATCTCGCAGTCCCTGGGACTCGGGCGCAGCTGCAGTACATCCTGGACAACGTGGGGAGGGGTGGGCCTGGCGGGCTGTCTGGGTGTGACGGGGGCCATTCCAGCTCGAGTGCTGGTTTCTTCATGTGGGTCCCAAGCCTTGCTCCCCAAGCTGAGGGAATATGGGGGGGTGGAGCTCATGATGAAGGGTGCGGGCGCTGGGCTTCGCTGTCGCATGGCCACACGATGCACACCCTCAAACCTCTGACCTCGCCTGCAGTCACCGCACACCCTGCGAGAAGTGCACGACGCTGCGGAGCTGGCAGGCGCATTCAAGTCACGGGAAGTCACAGCCACCGCATTTTACTCCGGACCCTTCACCATCAGTGAAGACTTTGAGTTCAAGGCGAGGAGCAGCACGCAGGCTCCTGCGCAGGCGGGGTGTGGTGTCTTGGCAGGACAGAGTCCTTGCTGTCTCAGGGGTTGGGCTGATGGGGAGGGATGTATCTGCTTGCCACACCCCCTCCCCTTCATTCTGCAGGTCAAGGTGGCAAAGAAAACCAACCAGGAGAAGCTCCCTTCCCTGGGCAAGGAGTCGCCCTTTGACAGCAGTGAGGCAGCTGGGGGGGCATCGATGCGCTCTGGCGCAATTTGCACGCCGCCCCTTGGGTGCTGGATCTGCTGGACCACCCCTGCCGGACCCACTGCATTGTGATTGGGAGGTCTCTGACTCGCCTGGCCCCACGGGCGAGGCAAGACTGGGACCCATCTGTACGCACATTCAACCGCCGACCCCTCTTTCCTTGCTCTCGCTGCGCAGCTGACCCAGCAGCCTCGCACGGCTTGACTCTGGCTCGGGAGTACAGGGTGGCGGAGGAAGGGGATGCCGGGGAGGAAGTGGCGCAGGAGGAGCGGGTGAAGGTGTACCGGGTATGCTGA